GACAATATTCTCGGTCATTGTGGTGGATTTTTCTAGGCCAGCAATCTTTCCTTCTACATCTGAGATTCTATTTTCTGCATAATCTAGTCTGCTTTTAATACTTTCAAGGGAGATTTTGACTTCCTGTACTATAGCCTTCATCTCTAACAGGTCCATTTGATTCTTTTTTTAAAGTGTGTAATTCCTCTTTTAGCTCTTGCAAGAATTTCCTCACCTCCTGGAACTCATCAGCTTCTTTCTCCTGCCTCTTCCACAGTTCATCGTCTCTCTTCTCTTCCATCTCTGTTAGCTTCATCATTATGAATATTCTAAATTCTTTATCAGACATTTCCATTGATGTGTGTGGATGAAGAGGAGCTATTCTTTTCCCTTGAAGGAGAGGTATTTTCTTGCTTTCCCATATTTCTTGTGGCCCTGTGGTGATTTCTAGTCATCTGATGGATGGTATGTTTCTTCCTCATTCTTAAGTTCAGGAGTGTGCAGAAGGAGGTCACCTGGAATCTCTTTGCCGTTCCGTTTTTATCCCTTTGTGTAGCAGATTCAGTGGTTATTGAGAAATATGTTAACTCTAATAGTATTTGGATGTTTGGCTATGTTTCCCTTAGATCTGTCTAGAAACACAGTGAATGGAGATTGAGGAACACAGTGATGAGATAAAAGAAAAAGAAAAGGAAACAGAGAAAAAGAGAGAGAGAGAGAGAGAGAGAGAGAGAGAGAGAGAGAGAGAGAGAGAGAGAGAAAAAAAAAAAAAAGAACGACAGAGAGAGAGAGAGAGAGAGAGAACAAAACAAAACAGAAAAAGAAGGGAAAAAATTAAAAACAACCAAAAAAATTTTTTGAGAGGATTTTGCTATAGGGCATGTGTGCTCACCAGACAGACACAGAGAGACAGAAAGTGAAAAATCACCCCAGGGGGGATGGTTATGCCCCAATCCCTTCTCCTCTATTCTCTCTGGATCTTGGGCACACATACACACGCACCCAGTGTGAGTTTAAGTCACCGGGTCTGGGACTCGAACTGCAGTCAACTACATGGGAGTCCAGTGACATAGCCATTATGCCAACTGCTGGCCCCAAACATTTATTTTTTTAAAAAAAGGCAAAAGATAAAAAACCACGCAGCATGCAAGCACACGACACAAAATCACTGCTTCTCAGGAACCATGGAGGAGTCTTCTTCTGAAGGCCTGCCTCTTGCCCCTCCTGGATGGATGAGGGTGAGGGGAGGGAAAGGAGTTTTAGCAAGATAAAGGAGGGGCTGAAAGCCAAGAGTATACTTTACCTTAAACATGTTTAAAAAGGGAAGAAACCAGAGTGTGGGTGAGCATGGGGAAACAAAAGAAAACAAGAAAGTATGTGACCATGAAGCAAATGCTTAGTCTCAGAGATCAGAGGCTTAAAGAAAAGGACAGATTAAAACCTAAAAAGAAAGAAAAGAAAGATCCTAGCACGCTGAAGGAAAGAGACGTCCCCCAACACCCTTCCTGCTTATTCTTTCAATATAATACACACTTGGGTCCACCTTACCACATCCTGGTTGATACCAACTTTATTAACTTTTCCATTAAAGTCAAACTAGACTTAGTGCAGTCAATGATGGACTGTCTGTCTGCCAAGTGTATCCCTTGTATAACTGACTGCGTAATGGCTGAAATTGAAAAATTGGGGCAAAAGTATCGAGTGGCTCTAAGGATTGCTAAGCATTACCATGCACACATAAAGGAAACTATGAGGATGACTGCTTAGTACAGAGAGTAATTCAGCACAAGTGTTACATCGTGGCCCCAATTGACCAAGACCTTAAACGAAGAATCTGGAAGATCCCAGGAGTTCCCATCATGTACATTTCTAACCATAGATACAACATTGAGCGGATGCCAGATGATTATGGAGCCCCTCGGTGCTAATTCTTAAAGGACAAAGTTCTTCTGCCTTTTTTGACCAACTATCTCTGTTGCCAGTTCATTAAACACGCTGTTTGTCATGAATTATTATTCTGTTCACCTATTTGCTGTGTAATGAGCTGAGTATGGTCAAGTACACTTACTTTTCAATGCTGTTTTGAAAATGTTTGTTTCATTTAAAAACTTGTTGCATCTTTTTATTTTTTAAACTCATTGCATTTTTTTATAAATCAGATGTTTAGATGATTGCTTAAAACAATGTTTAAAAAGGAAAAATGACCCAAAAAATGAGAAGACAGAGACAGAGACAGAGAGAAGGCTAGAGGAGCTCCCTACCACTTGACTTTGGAGGAGGAGGCTGAATTATCAGTAGAAAAATCTTCATTTTTCTTTTTTCCCTGAAATTACTACTTCTTCAGAGCCATGGAGGAGTCTTCTTCTGAAGGTCTGCCCCTTCCTCCTTAATGACCTTTTATCAAGTATATCAAGAAGACTCAAGTAAGCAGTAGGTCTCTGGGGTCCCTTTCTAACATATAACTAACTGTGAAATATTGTTAAAATAACAAAAGTCCAAGTAACACTAAATAACACTTAACCCATTCACTCTATGATTAAGAACCAATAGTTACGGGAACCAGCAGTTAGCGTAATGGCTATGTCGCTGGACTCCTATGTAGTCGACTGTGGTTCGCGTCCTGGACCCGGTGGCTTAGAACTCACGCCAGGCACGTGTGCGTGTGTGCCCAAGATCCCGAGAGGAGAATGGAGGAGAAGGGATTGTGGCGTGACCATCCCCCCTGGGGGGTGATTTCTCGCTTTCTGTCTCTATGTCTCTGTCTGGCTGGCAAGCATACGCACCCTATACCGAAAACCTCTCCAAAAAAAAAAAAAAAGAACCAATAGTTACATATTTTAGATTAGGGGTTAGCAAACTATACTTAATGACCAGATAATATTTTCGGCTTTATACTGTCTGTCTCCCAACTAATCAACCCTTTCATTGTAGCAAGAAAGAAGCCATAGACAATATGTAAACAAATGAGTATGGCTGTGATAAAAATTTATCATAACATATTCTTCTTCTTTTGATTTTTTTTTCCAACTATTGAAAAATAAAAAAAAAAATGAACTTGGCTTGCAGGCAGTAGTCCCAATATAGCCCACAGGCCATAATCTGCAGGTCCAACTTTATAGCTGGCATTTATACTAAGCTTTCAAACTACGATTCCAGCAATCCCTGCAACCTCATGCTTTAACCTCCTCCCCCCTCATTCAGGAATTGCCGAGCAAAGAAAATTTGTTAATTTAAGGCAATGAATAGAAAAACAGAGACTATGAATTCTCCAAAATAAAATAATCTAAACTGGTTATTAACAAATAAGGTAATCTCTAACAATGGGGAATTGCAGTAGCTTCTACTTTTATACTATGAGTCTGTTTTAATACTGACTAACAAGAGGAAAAGTTAGTCTGAATTAAAGACTTGAAAATGCAATTTTATTGTTCACCAAGGAAGTAATACTGCAAAGCAGAAGGCCTAACAGGCCTGTTTTAATGAATAGATGACTCATCTGTAATCAGTGCATTAATTGTTGGGATTCAAATGGGTGCTCTTAAAATACTGGGAAAAATAGCTTCATTGTTAAAGCAGGTTAAGCATTCCCCCTACAGCCTTTCTTAAAGTATCAATTTGCTTTGCAAACTGTTTCTTTCCAAAGTAAACTTCCATAAAACCCTGACAGATTTATCACAAATTCTATGCTATTAAATTAAAAAAAAAAAAAAAGCCACATGAATTTGGGTAAGACTTTCAGTATTACAAAATCAATGTCATCACTTGGCCTCTAAGTCCCTAGAGTCAACACTATACCTTTTGCCTTTTTTTGATCCTTTCAAACTATTTCGGAACTTGTCCTCATATTGAAGTTTCACTTCTCTCGCCCCGGTCTGAAGATTCAGTCGCACATGGGATCCTGCAGGGACGGCCTGACCTAAAAGCCAAAAAGAGAAAAGTCTCATGAGGTATAAGGTCCTTGGGACACTGGGATGGAATGACTTGGCTAACACGCCAAGGGATTTATTATTATTAGTTCATGAAGATCAAACCTGTTATTTCTTCAGTCCATCTCTCTCTCTGTCTCTGTCTCTCTTTCACTCTCATACACACTGCTCACAAATACTCCTTTTGCCAATCTATAAGGGAATCTTGAAGTGAACAAAGCAAGTCAGGCAAAAAGAATCTGAATCCAAAGACGAAAACCCCTGAATGATAGATACATACTCAACCATCAAGACATGGCTATATTATTGCCTCCTCCAGGACACTCCTGCCCTTCCCCCTGTCAGTTCCACAGAACCTCAGACAGCCTGCCATCCCAGTAAGCTCAAACCTCACCACCTTCATTTGTTTAATCAGGTTCCTTCTAAGAGGCTCTCTTCTTCCTGGACACAGAAACTGTGTCTCCTCCATTTTTATTTTCCCAGTCCCTAGGGCAGAGCTTGGCATATAAAATTTGTAACACTTAACATTCATAAGAAAAAAGAAATAGACTTGAAGGCAGAAAGACACATAAATCCAAGAAACAGGGAGAAGAACCAAGAAAAACAGAAAATTTGTGCCCACCAATCTCAGAAGAGCTCATCTACTAACTGGGAAACAACTATTGTGAATGGATGAGCTATTCGTATGCACTGCATGAAATTACCCAAGGATCATTAAAAAGCAACTGTGCAAGGTCATATATTAAAAATGGAAATGTTACATCCATTCATTGATCCATGGAATGGTACTTAGCAAGCAGCTGCTCTACACCAGTCCACCCTAGTGGGTTGTAGGAATACAAAGACAAATGGTAGTGGCCATATTTCAGAGAATTTCAGGAAAAGGGCTTTTCTGGAAACTAGAAATCTAGAAGCAAAGATGAGTGCTTCTGACACCTGGACTTTGCTTTTTTGGGCTAGAGGATGGCATTACCTTGTTAGTACTGAGTTTGATTCAAGAACCAAAAATTAATGACAATCTGAAAATATTCCTTCCAGAGGAGCACATAGCACAAGTTCTCTCAGACTGCTCAGGTAAACCCTGAGTATAAAAGGGCAATGGTATAGAAAGGACTCAACAGTTTCCTCAATTCTGACAGAACCATAGTGAACTCTGAGTTCCACTAGCCACACTGCCTCCAACCAAGGAGCCAGGGAAACACAAGATACAATGCATCTATTCCTGCCACCCACTTCAGTAAGGAATCTTGAGATCTTTGATTTAAAAAAAAAAAAAGAGAGAACCTTCAATACTTAAGTGTATATGCATAATGATTCCCTTCTAATCCCATCCAAAAATACTCCAATGATAAAAGATATATTCAGGGTGGGACCAGCAGATGGCATAATGGTTATGTCACTGGACTCCCACATGGCCATGGTTCAAGTCCCAGACCTGGAAGCTTGAAACTCACGCTGGGTACATATGCAAACATGCCCCAAATCCCAAGAAGACAATGGAGAAGAAGGGATTACAAAATGACTATCCCCCAGGGGGATGAATTCTCTCTTTCTATCTCTGTCTCTCTCTGTTTCTTTGGGGAGCACACGTGCCCTATAGCAAAAACCTAAAGAGAAAAAAAAAAATTCAGAGTATGTTGGGCAAACACTTCTCTGGGAAAACTTCCTGATAAGGTTAAATAAGGGGATCAAATGAGGCAAAATGTGAGACCCCCAAAAAGTGTTAAAAAGAAAAAATAAAGGGAATACCACTTTGAGGGAATCCCATGTACAAAGGCTTCAACACCAAAACTGATGGGCCACAGGAATCAAGGAGCAGATCTGGTCAGCAGAAGTAGAAGGGGTGTGGGGACTGCTGGCTTGATATATCATCAGGAAAAGTGGATTTTGGCCATGAAGTCTGGACTCAAACACAATAGGATACATGGGATCCAGCCACCTTAACCACCATGCCACCAACTGGCCCAAATGAAAAATTTTAAATGAAAAAGAGGAAATTCTAGCTGACCTGTAGGTGAGTGCAAAGGCCAATAAAGATGTTTACTGCAGGGACCAGCAGATGCCGTAATGGTTATGTTACTGGATTCCCATGTAGTCGACCGTGGTTCGAGTCCCAGACCTGGCAGCTTAAAACTCATGCCAGTCACATGTATGTGCATGTCCAAAATCCCTAGAGGAGAATGGAAGAGAAGGGACTGCAGCATGGCCATGCCCCTGGGGGATTATTTCTCGCTTTCTGTCTCTCTGTATCTCTAGCAAGTACATGTACCCTATATCAAAAATCTCTCTCTAAAAAAAAAAAAAAAGATATTTACTATCATAAGTAGATTCATAATAATTAGTCATGTTAATAGTTATTTTTCATAGTAATAGTACTAGTAGTAGAAATAATAATAATACTGCCTTGAGTTTTCAAACTTTTGATAAAAGTCAGAAATAGAAAAGAACCCAAAATGGTAGTGCAAGTGATAGGGTGCCACTGTGCAATATTAGAGCCACATGGGAAGGCCAAGGGCTCAGATTCCAAACCCTAGGTCGACCTGAACACACTGAGCATGCTTGCAGGCCCATCCGTGATCCTGGATGACTAGAAAGCTAGGGACAGTATCATGCATATAAGGCGGTGCCAGGGGTTATTTTCTATCTTTTTCTCTCTCACATGAACAAAATAAATAAATCTTTAAAAAATGAGAAAGAAAAAAGTACATGCATTTATACACTTCAGCTATTATAATAAGCGCGTGCGTACACACACACACACACACACACACACACACACACACCACATTAAAACATGAACAAAATAAATAAATCTTTAAAAAATGAGAAAGAAAAAAGTACATGCATTTATACACTTCAGCTATTATAATAAGCGCGTGCGTACACACACACACACACACACACACACACACACACACACCACATTAAACTGGCCTAGGAAGAGACTAGAATCATATGTGAATCCATTAATTTTATTTGGGGAAAATTCCAAAATTACTCCCTTCACATAAGCCACCACAGGGGGCAAAAGCAATCACAATAGCATTAACTCAAAACATAGGTTATGTTCTTTTAAAATATACAAAACTAGTCATAGCAGAGGCAGTGGCAGAAGCAACAGAAAATACAGTATTTCAAATGTTTCCACCCCACTGGGAAAAAGGCCAAGTTAGAAACAGAATGTGATCTACACTTTTGTAGGGCCTCTCTGATGGGAGGGGAAAGGTACTGGGACCCTGGGGAAGAGCAAAACAAAGGCAAAGAGAAGTCACGAGATGCATCCAAGTAAAGAGTTAGGAATTAGGGGTAGAGTGCAAAGGAATAATCAGAAAATAAGATCAAGATCCAGAAAGGCAAACAAACCTGCAAAGTCTACCATGTGTGTTTCCCTACCACTGGCTCCTGGGGGGCAGATCCCAAAGTTGAGTATCCCAGCCTGAGGAAACCCTGTCCACATTAAGTTAGGCTACCTCTGGCCCAGCTTCAGGAGTGCACACAGGAAGACACCATGGCATGATGCCTGAGGCCCATGGGAGGTCCAGGTTTAATTTCCAAGCCAACCTAAACAGGCTGGACCCACTGATGTTCACCTGTGGTCCTAGCTGACAGGGAGTCTGTGGCAGGAGGGCTGCAACATGAAACTCTGTGAAAAATACATCTCTCTCTCTCTTCCTCTCTCTTGCCCACTTCAAGAAAAGAAAAACATAAAATAAAGCTTGAATTTTGACTCCTACTGGGATTCTCACTTCAATCACAGGCTGGGACTTCTCCAGCAACCCCTGCTTTCTCCAGGGAGGGGAAAAAAATCCATTGTAGATTATAACACTGTCACCAACTTCTTTATTCCTGCCTGTCAAACCATTTGCCATATGACCTGGCAGCTTTTCCTACTGTTGCTGGAGTGTACTGCCTGTTGACTTTGGATTTGGCTTGTGACATGCTTTGTCTAGTGGGACACTAGCAAATGTACCACAAACAGATGTTTGACGTGTGTTTGTGTGGTTGGCTTGTCTCTTGGGATTCTGCCATCACCATGGGAAGAACTTGTAGCTATTAGCTCTCTGGTCAAAGAAAGATGAAAGGACCATGGAGCAGACCTGGACCCAAACTACAGATTAGAACTAAGCCCTACTGAGCCCAGCCATGATCAGCCAAGTCTAGCTGATCGGGAGAGATGTGAGCAAGAATAAATAACTGGATTTGTTTTAATTTTTTTAAATTTCGAACTATGTTAAAACTTACACAAAATATGCAAAATAGTGCAGTGTTTCCGTATATCCTTCATGCAGCTTTTCCAAATGTTAATATCTTACATACCCATAGTACCGGTAAATTAACAATACCCATATCCTTAGAACCAGGAAACTAATATCACTAGCCTTTTTGTTCCAGGATCCCTTATGGTCTTTCCACTCTAGTCTTCTCTGATGTTCAAATAGTTCATCAGTCTTAATGCTGATCACTTATTCAGGACTGTCTAGTACCTTCTCATGATTAAAGTGAGAACATACCCCCCTGGCGGAAGCATCACAGAAGTGATGCTGTGCCTTCTTAGTGTATCATATTACAGGGTTTGTGATGACAATATGTCTTATTACTGGTGATGCTGGCCTCGCTCAATGAATAAAGGTAAAAAAATCTCTATTGAGCTTTTCTACTGTAGTAAACAAAAATCATGTTTCCACAGGTTGGCAGTTTCTCAAAAAATCAGGCACAGGGTTACCATATGAATTCAGCAATTCCACTCCTAGGAGATTACCTAAAACCATATGTTCATACAAGAACTTACACATGCAAGTTCATAGTAGCATTACTTATAATAGCCCAAATGTGAAAACAACCCAAATGTACATCAACTGATAAATAAATGAAATGTGATATAATCATACAGTGAAATATTACTAGGTTCTCAGAAAAGTCATGACAGTTTTGCATGGAAAACAAAAAAATAAATATGACATAACTTTTCTTACAACCTGATATTTAGCCA